GGAGGTGAACCTACTCACAGGGAGGGGCGGGGGCTGAGGGCAGGTGGTGCAAGTCCTGGGCCCAGGGGCGCAGGGGGTGAGGGAGGCGGCCGCACGCGATTGGAGGAGACCCGGCCGAGGGAGGGGAGCCCACAGATGCCCCCTCCCCTCGCGTTCCCAGGCTGCCCCGAGACCCCTGCGCCCGTGCCGCGCAGGGGAAGAGGCGCGCCGCCCGGGCTGGTGGCTGCGTCGCGGCCACGTCTCTCTTTGTTTCCGTGTGTGTCCTCCCGTGGGGAGTGGGGGGAGGCGGCCAAAGATGAGCTCGAGGCTGCTGAGCACGCAGAGATTTTTATTTTTCTGGGACTGTGCTGGGGGAAGCGGGAGAGGGGAGAGGCTCTTTCGCGCCTCGGCCTCTGGGGGACGCGGCCACCTCCGCCCGGCTCCGAGGCGCTGACTCGCCGCCCGCTGCCTTCCTTCCTGGGCCGCCTCTGCTGCTCTGGCAGCCCCGCTCCACGGAGGCATCCGGAACCCGGAAAGCAGCGAGCCCGAGCCCCGGCCGCCCTCCTCCCTTCCTTTCTCTCCCCACACCCCACTCCCTTCCTTTCCTTTTTTTTTTTTTTCTTTCCTTCCAAACCGTTTTATGTTTTTCCACCAGAAACCGCAGAGTCCAACACCCTCGGGCCGAATCCCCCCCCAGGAGCACCCCTGCGTCTTGGGGCACCGAGAGAGCCACGAGGCCAGGCTGGCCGGCTCCTCACCTTGGGAGACGGGGCCGACTTCTCCCGAGGCCGGGGCGGGACGCCTTGGCCCGAGTGCCTGAAGGCCTGCGCTGCCCCGCGATCGTGCCCCGCTCGCTGGGGACCTGGGTGGGGGCGACAACGCGGATCGCTCCGGGGTTATTTATTTTCCCTTCCACTCCATCCCTTCCTCCCCCAAACCTCGCCTGCAAGCTGCCTCCAGCCCGCGGGGGTCGACAGCGGCCCTGGAGCCCCCCAGCCCCAATCCACAGCGCTCGGCTTTCCCATTCATTATTGATCATATTTTATAAATCCAACGCCACACAATTTTTTCCACATTACCGGGAGCCGTGGGGAGGCGGCGCGGCCATTGGCGCAGGGGACGTCACGTGGGCCGGGGTCACGTGGGCCGGAGAGGAAAAAGGGGGTCCTTTTTGGTGTAAATCTGGACTCTAATTCTGTAATATATCAAGGAATCTCGTAAAACCGACACTAAAACGTCCCTGCCTACAAATCATCCGGCCAAATTATGAGTTCATTGTATTATGCGAATGCTTTATTTTCTAAATATCCGGCCGCAAGTTCGGTTTTCGCCACCAGCGGAGCCTTCCCCGAACAAACTTCTTGCGCGTTCGCCTCCAACCCCGCGCGCCCCGGCTACGGCGCGGGCGCCTCCTTCGCCGCCGCGGTGCCCGGCCTGTACCCCGGCGGCGGGGGCGCGGCGGGCGCGGGCGGCGTCTACGCGGCCGGCTACGGGCTCGAGCCGGGTTCCTTCAACATGCATTGCGCGCCCTTTGAGCAGAGCCTCTCCGGGGTGTGTCCCGGCGACTCCGCCAAGGAGCAGAGGGACTCGGACCTGGCGGCCGAGAGTAACTTCCGGATCTACCCCTGGATGCGGAGCTCAGGTAACGCCGCGCACCGAGCCGCCCCAGCCGCAGCGCCGCTCCGGGCCGCGTCCCCGCGAGGGCGCCGCTAGCTCGGCCGGGCGCCCCCTGGCGCGTCCAGAGCGCCCTGGGCCCCGGAGGTCGGTGCTGGGGACGCGGCACCCCCAATCGGCCGCGACCCGGCCCGGCCCGGCCCCCACCCCCCAGTTTTGCTCGGTGCTCTCAGGCTGGCTCTGCTTCCCCGGGCGGATCTGTCTTCGCCGACGCCGCCGCGGCGCTCAGAGCCCCCAGCCCGCCCCCCAGCCTTCCTCCTGGTCTTTTAGCTTTAAATATTTATCAGCAGCGCCGGCACGGGCTGGAGACGAGGCCGTTTGTCTTGCAGAGGAAGGCTGGGGTTTGCAGAGAATAGCCATTAGGGTCTCCCCCCTCGCTCCCCCTTTCCCTCGCCTGGGAGCTCAGCCCTGGGTGTGTCCCCCAGCCCCAGCTCAGACACGATATGGGGGAGGGGGTCCCAGTGCTAAGCTAAGCAGTTCTTCCCTCCCCTCCCCCCCAGCCCCCCCTGCTCCCCTGTCGTCCCCACCAGGACAATTAGAGGTGGGCTCCAGAGGCCTGGCGGGAGGAGGGGAAGAGTAGACAGGGACCCAGCCGGGGACCCAGAGCCAGAGTGTCAGGTGGAGGGGGGGAGGCTGACGCCAAGAGAAATGAGGCTCCTGACCCCCCAGTGAACTTGGGGGGGCAGGAGAACTAGGGAGAAGGGCGTGGGGGGCCTCTGAGGAGCACCCTGGCTTCCTCTGCACCCCTCCTAAGAATCCTAGGCAGCCCTGGAGAGCTGGCCAACAAGTTGGGAGGTGTCCCTCCAGCGGGGTGCATCTCCTCTTGGGGAGGGACTGGGAGTCGAAGGGGCCAAAGCAAGCCTAGAGAGTGCAGCCCATCCAGCAGCTGCTGCAGGAACCCCAAGAGGCCAGGACTCTGATGGGGTCTCCCTGCAAGGCCGCTGTGCACCCTGGCTTATGCTGCCCTAAGGCGGATGGGCCTGGCGGCCTCTCCGCCATGGGAAGGTCCAAGGTGTGAGGACAGACAGTGCTCACAGCAGCGGCACTGGTGGTCCTGCTCCCCACTACCTGCCTCATAATTCAACTGCCTTTCCAGTTGATTTATCAAAGCCCCGATTTTTCTGCTCGTAAACATTTCAGCTGGACTTTTATCTGATTCGGAATTAGGGTCCCCGGCCCCTCCTTTCTGCCGCTCCCTCCCAGGAGGGCTGGCACCAGCACCTCAGTGCCTCCCCCAGGTCTCCTCCTTGGGGTTCTGGGCCGAAGCTTGGAAGTTTCCATCTGTCATTGGGCTCCATGCAGATCCTTGTGTTGCGCTTCTGCCGTAACCAGGCTGCCGTTTCTTCTCTGCCCCTTTGCTGCCCTGGAGGCCCAAGTTGCCCGGTAGCCAGGTGGGCAAGGCAGGCCAGCCTGGCCCTGGCTGAACCTGAGCCGTGCACTGGGGAAGAATCACCAGCGTGGCAGGCGGCTGCTCTCAGACCAACCCCTCCGTACTCCCAGGCAATCAGCAGATTTTCACCTTCTGGTTTCATAACAGGGTGGGGCGTGCCGGACCTGTGAGGTCTCTTTGTTTCTCTGTCTTCTTGGGAAATGGTCAAACCAGGCCTGAGCCCCAGACCAGCTGGCAAGGTCTCCATAGCTGCCCACCCCCAAAGACAATCAGCGGCCAGAAGGGAGGCTTGGAGTCCCTGGTCCCAGAGAGGAAATGGGGATCCCCTTCCCTGTAGCCCCCATACATGCCTTAGGAGCAGAGCCTTCAGGAGCCGGCAGGCTAGATCTCCCCAGCTTCAGAAGTCCCGGCAGGATAAGATTTCTTGCAAGGGCATGGGAATATTTGCCTTGAGCAACCTGCAGACAGTTCTGCAGGTGGAGAGCAAGGGCAGCATGGCTGTATGGGCTGGAAAGTGAGAATTTGGTTTAGTTGGAAAATGAGCTGTTTTTTTTTTTTTTTCCCTCCTTTGGACCTCCCATGCAAGGTCTAAGAAGGAGGTGGATGCCATCTTGGCGCCTTCAACATTTTTGATTTTAAAAGATGGATTGATTCTCCCCCACCCCGTATTTTGTGTGCAGGAACCGACCGCAAGCGAGGCCGCCAGACCTACACGCGCTACCAGACGCTGGAGCTGGAGAAGGAATTTCACTACAACCGCTACCTGACCCGGCGGAGGCGCATCGAGATCGCGCACGCGCTCTGCCTGACCGAGAGACAGATCAAGATCTGGTTCCAGAACCGGCGCATGAAGTGGAAAAAGGAAAACAAGGCCTCTGGTCCAGGGATCCCCGACCAGGCCAAGGCAGAGGCAGAGGAGGAGGAGGAGGAGTAAGGAGCGGAGGAAGAGAGAAGAGAGAGGGAGCCGCCCAGTTCTGGGAGCTGAGCCCGGAAACTCATGTCAAATCGAAAAAAAAAAAACAAAAAAAAAACACTATTTAAATAAGAGCAGTTTTTGAAAAAATCAAGGAGAGAGGTGAAATTTTGGTTTTTCAACACTGTAAAAAAAAAAAATACTACCTAGAGGAAAGTCTGTCGGGTTTGTTTTTGTACAATATGGAAAGAGCGTTATCTACCTGTTCTGTAGCTTTCTAACTCACCCCGCTTTTCTATGTTGCTATTGTAAGGTCTTTGTAAAGTCTCGCTGTTTTGTAAGCCTCCTTTGATACCGTCTCTGTGGACCGTGGGTCTGGACTCACCGGGGAGCTCCCACAAGCCCTCCCGAGCCTCCACCTTCCCAGCAGCAGCACCCAGAGGGTCTGGGGAACTCCACCGCCCACCGACTGGCCTACTAGCTCCTGTGCCGTGCGCCTGACCGCTGCCCCCTGTGCCCAGCGCCCACCACCCTTCCTTTTTAAATTCTGTGTGTATCGGGATGATGCAAAAATAAAACATGATTAAAAATAGGCGGATCTGTATTTTCTGTGTCTCCTTTTGACTGGGAGGGGGTCAGGGTTAGTGATGGGTGGGCTTTCTGGGGCCCCTCCGCTGGTGTCTCGTCTCTGCACTGGGTCTCCTCTTTTTTCTAGTGCCCCCTGCTCTGGGGACTGCCAAGTCGTGACCTCTGCTATGACACACACACCCACACACATACGGATTCCCTTATACCCCTCCACAGACATTTCCCAGTGCACACAAGTGCACTGACAGGCAGCCTTCTCGCCCAGATAAATATGCCCTGACACAGTCACAGATAAACACATTCATGCATTCACCAAGAAACACACAGGCATTCACACGAACTCAGAAGTCAACGCACACTCACGGTCACTCACAGACATGGGCAGATCCGAGCGCACATCCACACACTGGCTTATAATCCGAGCTTCACCTGTGCGGCAGAATACATACACTCCCCAGCCCGTGTGCTGAGCCACACACCCACAGAACAGAACAAAATAAAAAAAAAGCTCTTCGCTCCAGAAACACCTCCCTTCAGGCATTCAGAGCGAGCTGCAGGGCCCGGCCACCCAGCCAGCAACACAGAGGTGAAATCCGCAACGCTAGGCCTGATAAGAAAGAAGAGCGGATGGGAAGGGAAAGCGAACCCCAGTTCCATGCCTGATCCCTGGGCCTCCTTTGGGCAGAGGCTGGGCGGCAGTGGAGGCTTCCTAGGTGGCCTAAGGCGGCATCCAGCGCGGGGCACCCACAGCTTTCTGCTCCTTCGGCAAACGTTTTCGGCAAGATCTATTCATTTATTCTATCTTCACTGATGTTACTTCCGTGTGTTTTAATTTCTGTCATGCTAAACTGACCCGGGAGATGCACCTAAATCTTAAAAATAGGGAATAAAAAGGAGTGCTGGGAGCGAGGGTGGTGCGAGTTTACCGGGCTGGTGTGGCCGTCCCCTCCTGCGCTGTGAGCCTGGCCATGCCGCCCACCGCCGGGGCTTCCTGGGAGCTTTCTGCCTGCTCTTGGGCTTGCCTGCCGACAACCTGGAACCTTCTCAGGAGCACAGAGAGAGAGAGAGAAAAAAAAATTTCAGGGAAGGTTATTTCGTTTTTCTTTGCATTTGGGCGCAGGTAGCTTAACTAAAAATACGGGAATGTTTTAGAGAAACTGGGGAAAATGGAAGGAATTAATATTTTGCACCTCATAACCTTTGACTGCAGTAGAAAACCCTGAAAGACAGGTGCTTACACAACCAGACCTGCACTCTTGAGTTTTAGCATTCATTGGATTACCCCGGCTTGTTTAAATTTAAAGAACAGGTACTTCCGACAGAGCGTGGGAGGCGGATTGGTTTTCGGAAAATCTGTCTCATTTGAATGTGTAAGTGAAAGGGCCCTAAACTTGCAGTTTCCCCGTTAATGACCACAGAACCCCCTTGGTGAGCGTGCTGGAGCTGTCACAGGAAACTTGGAGCAGCCCGCATTTGGGCGGGAGAGGCCGACATGCGGCTTTACCCTCCCCTTGTTTCTGGGGTGCAGGGCTGGAGGATCTGGCTTTAGATTGTCTGCTTTGGCCCTTATCCAGGGCACCTCCCCTCCTGGGGGAAAAAACTAGGCCCTAGGGACCTAATCTAGCCCCCCATACCCGCAATGCTGTAAGCCTCACAGGTGGGGGGTCCCCTATTTTTAGGGCTAAGGATGGGGGCACCGGATTAGAGGGGAAGAGGGACCGTGTAGCTTTCATTTTGCTCAGAGGAGGATACAGGAAGCTGACTGCTGCTCCCGCCTCACCTCCAAATCTGTCCCATGCAGAAGATTTGAGGTGAATTTTTACTAGAAAAGAGGCGCAGAGCTCCTGAGGAAAACGGGGAGATTTCTAAGAGAAGCCCCTCCCTGGCTGGACCCTTGGGGCTTCTCCACCCTGCATCTCTGCACCCCGAATTTCACCCCTTCTCAGATTGGGGCTTCCCCAAAAAAGAGAAGGAGAAGAAAAGAAGATGGCGACTGAGAAAAGGGTAGCTGCTGGAGCAGCCAGGAAGAAATGCAATAAATTCCTTGTTGTTTTATGAAAATTTACAACTTTGTGATAGAAGTTTATGAGTGGTTGAATCCAGCGATTGGCCGGCGCCGGTCATGTGGCCGGGCGATCGTGAACATGAACTTTTTATCATTTCCCTGGTGGTTATAATGCAGCATTCTTTTGGACACCACACCTAGGTCGGAGCACTGTCGTCCTTCAGGGCTCCAGCCTCTTGATATTTTTATACTTCAATATCAGCTCAATAGAGCAAAGGAGAGAGAGGGAGAGGGGGAGAAGAGAGAAGAGAGAGGGAGAGGGAAGGAGGGGTGGGGATTATACAAAAGAGAGAACCAAAAATAATTTTGATTCCTAAGTTAATTTGCTTGCTGATCTGGGATTTTAGTCGTCATGAAGGGTAAATGGACAATCTGCCCAGGACCGCTGCCTGAGACCATTTTTCAAAGCCAGAACTTACTCTATTTTCTATGCAAATGTCAGAAAAGCGAAACACCCTCTCTCCCCAAGTCAGAGAAGGGAAGTGACGGCTCTCAGGTTGGGACAATATTATCTGGAAGCCGAAAGAAGAAACCGAACGCTCTTCCCCCACCCTCCCTCCCCACCCTTTTCGATCTGAGGAAGAAAAGCCCCAAGGTCTGCAAAGGTAAGGGAGATTCTTCGATTCTCTTCTCATCCCTTTGCATTGCTTTTGTAGGGGGTGGGGCTTGGGCTTTTCTCCCTCCTCCCCCGACTCCCAGACTGGGGGCTGAACCCCACCTTTGGGCGCTGCTGGGAGAGGCTTCCCAAGAAATTCGGCGCTGGAGAGAGGGGTGGCTGCTTCCTGGAGGGGGCGTCCAGGCGAGGACGATGGAGGAGGGACAGAAGGGGCCACGGAGGCCATCTCTGAGCGCCTTTTGCAAGGCATCGGGAGGGGAGCTCCGAGCCAGGGCTGCCGGCGGGAGGAAGCCCCTGGCTCCGGCCTCGGTGGGTTCGCGCCCCTCCCACTCCCCGTCCCTCCCTGGCCCTGGCCTCCTCCGATCGTCCCCCTGTGCAGAATTCTCTTGCCCAGTGTGGGTATTGGCGGCTTTCCGGCTGCACTGGCACGAGAGGTGGTGGCGCTCGGGGCGTCCTGGTCTCTGTAGGGCCTGGAATCTCCGGAGAGGCCGGCGAGGCCGAGGAGGCGGCTAGAGAGATACAGAAAGAACAGTTCACAGAGAAAGGTTCACATTCTCCCATCGGAGACATTTCGGAAATGAAAGCGCTGTGGGTGGAGGCGCCCGGCGACCCCGGGAGACTCCCCGGGAAAGCCTGGCCGGCTGAGAATCCGTGCCCAGGTCCCTGGCCACTCCCGCAGGAGGGAGCCTGGCTCTGCGCTCAGCCGCGAGCGGTGTGGTTTGGACGCGGTAGGTCCCAGCGCGGTGGTGTCGGTGGTGCAGGATTGATTCTGTGACTTGTGTTGTATTGGTATGGGGCATGTGGGCTTCCGTGGAGGAGAAAAGGGCCGTGTGTGTTTGACACGGAAAATCCAAACTTTCCTTCATCCAAGTGTGGTGATTGTGAAGGGCTGTGTAGCAGCATATTGATGTTTTAGGCTTGCACGAGAACCCAGGAAAGAATACAATATGAAAATCAAAAGGAAGCACAGTTAGGGAACCAGCGGTGTCTGGACTGCAAAGCCGCTGGGCACGGAGCTCAGACCGCTTAGTCTTGGCCCCTCAGGCGCCCGATTTCACCCCCCCAGCCGGGCCTTGGGGTGGGAGGGGAAGTGCTGGGCGGGAGACTCAGATTCCTGAAGTAGCTGGTGGGGTGAGGCCGGCTGGCTGAGCTGAGGCAAGGACTAAGGCGTGGGGCGAGGTGGTTTTGGGGGAGATAATCTAGGGCGAGGAGAAGCAGAGATGTGGTTTAGACTTAGTTTGGTTTACACCAATAGGTTGTTGATGTTTCTTTCTTAAGACCAGACACGGGGCGGTGAGCCTCAGGCCTCTGATTGCCCCGGAATGCCGGGTCTGTGTGTGGTGCACGCGCGTGTGGGTGTGTGCGCGCAGGAGTGTTGGCCGTCTCAGTCCTGAGTTGGGAGGAGAGGGAGATGGCAGCCACTTGTGGCACAGGAGGGGCGTCCCTGGGGGCCCAGGTAGATGCCCTAGGTACAGGCCTGGCCTGGGCTCCCAGAAACCCACCTCAGTTCCACAGCAAGCGAAGTTATTCGCCAGCACCCACGGCACGGGGGCCTATTCTCCAAGGGAAATTCCCCAAACCCACTCAGACTAATGGTCTTTTTCTCCTGCAGTCTTGCCTGGTTATAAATGGCCCCTTAGACAGTTTGCTCTGACCCAAATTATGCGGTTTGCTGCCATCTACCGACCGTTCGGAGACAGACGCGCGACTTGGGTGCCGCAAGCCGGGCAACACAGCCCAGCCGCGCCCGACGCCTGCAGCCCCGGCCGGCGGCGCGGGTAGAAGGAGTTGGGGGATTTCGGGGCCACCCCACGCCCTCCGGTCCATGTGGCTTCTCGGGCGGATTAGGGAACAAAACAAATCTCTCCCCTCAGGGTCCGCAACTCCTTTCCCCTCTCCTCTCAAATCCACCCCAGCCCCAAACCCGGTGGCTGGCAGAGGAAGCGATTTCTTTTAGGACTAATACTGCAACCCGCGGACAGGGGTCACCGAGCCACAGGACTGGGGGATCAGAGCCGCGACGCCCCCCCAACACACACCCAAGGCTCGGGCGCGGCCGGGCCGCTGGAGCCCGGGCTGCTCAAGGTTTATTTGGTTTCTGCGCAGCCAAGGGAGGGGCCGCGCGGTTCCACTCGGTTGTGAAAAGACAAACCGAGTCTGTGTTCTTGCAGTTGGCCGGCGGCGGGTCTCGCCAGCTCCCTAGCTGGTGGGTCCGAGGTGGAGGCTTTGAACCGAGTTTTTCTGGAAACTGTCGGTGTCTGCAGTGAGTGCCGATCCCCTCCCCCACCCCGCCCCCGATCGTTTCGAGCGAAATCCACGCGAGTGTGCATTGGGGGAAAGCGGGGGTGGGCGTGGGGATAAATCACGATGGGAGCAAGACACTGTGACTTCCGTTCCCGCCGGCCCCGCACACCCGCTTCGCGCGACATCGTCCCCAGAGGGGGTGGCAAGGCGGCGCGCGCCCCTGCGCCGCGTTGGCGCGTTGGCCCCGTCTCGCGGGTTACTGATTAGCTCGGGCTTTCAAGCCGTAGGAGGAAGCTCCTTTCAAGGTGCGGTGGCGGGGGCTGCAGGAAATTGCCTGTGGTGCCAGGTCAGCAGAGGTGTTACTGAGGTCTGGCCGCGGCGAGTCTGGGGGCCGCTGCGGTGCTGGGGGCGACGCCCGCTTGCTGCGTTCCCCCCACCCCCGTGCCTCTGGAGTCCCGGCCTCTGGGCGGCTCTTTGAGCTTTTCCGCAGCCTGAGTGACTTTCTGGCGGCTGGATGGCCTGGCCAGCTCTGCGGGAGGTCCCCAGGGAGCCGGCCAGGAAGGCCTTGGGCCCCTCGGAGATTTTTTTCCTTTTGGCAATGGAAGGACAGGTAGGGAGGAGAAGTCCGAGTGCTGGAGAGGGCTGAAGCACTTCAGGGGTCTCAGCGTACCCGTGGACCTGGGAGAGGGGAACAGGGGAGCTGCTGAGAGCCACCACTCACCCCCTCTAGAAGATCAGAGGGGATGTCTCTCATTTGCATAATGGAAATGAGGTCTTTGTACCTCTATTTGGACCGACCGATTTTAGGGCAGAGTGGCCAATATAAAGAGCCACTCTCAGTCTAGGAGAGCCACCACATTGCACCTCTAGGACCCTTTATGTCCCCTAGCCCAATCAGAGTCCAGGGGGAGGCCCGGGTTGAGGTGTTTTTCTCTGCTCCACCCTAAGCCACTTTGGGGGTGGAGTGCAGAAAGGAGCCCCTCAAGCCCAAGAGCTGGGGCAGGGCGGCTCTGTAGCTTAGGGAAATGGGAAGCCTGGCTAATGTCTCAGTCTCACTCCAGGCAAGCAAAAGGCTGGTGCCCAGGCTGAGCACAGCTAAGGAAGCACTGCCCTGCGAGCTGGAATGTGTGCTCAGCCACAGTGCCCAGCACAGAAAGTCACAATTATGAGCCCAGGCGGTGAGGTATCCGAGCAATCCCCCGCTGTGCACTCAAGCTCCTTTTTACCCACCTCTGGGTACACACGCTTCCTGGCGGAGGACGGACAGACACCCCCGCCCAGCAGGCTGCCAGGCCTGCTGTGTATTTACATATTCCCCCCTGGAGACAGACAGAAAGACTGTCATGCTGGGTGGAACCACAGACAGGTTCTTCTGGAGATCTGGCTCCAAAACCCAGGCGGTCTCTGGCCGAGGCCTGCCTGCCTGCTCTTTTTCCCAAACAAACGGATCAGAGGAATAAACGCTCATAAATACCTCTGGGCTTAGATAAGAGCGATGAGGCGCTAGTTCCTTTCATGCCCGGCTCCAGGCGCCTGGGCCCTGCCTGCCGTGGCTCCATCTCCCAACAGGCAACCTGCAGAGGTGAGGTTAATTTAGGGGCTGTGGCTCTAAGGATAAGGCCATTATTTCCTGCTTCTGTGGTGGGCTGAGAGCTCCCTCCCTCCCCGGCCGCCTCTTACCTCCCCATACTCTCTAGGGAGACCACACCGTCCAGACCAGGGACGGGGACTCTGTGACCAGGGCGAGGCCTGAGGCCCAGGGCCCAGCTTCAAGCTGCAGGGCAGGGAGGTTCAGGCAAGCACCTTTCCCTTCCCTTCTCAAACAGCTCCTGCCCCTCTGCATGGGCCCAGCCACAGCAGGGTGGAGCGATTGTGCTCCTGCTCTGTCACTGGGTGGTCTGACTTTCTTTTCTTAAATCCTTCAAAGCCCCCGTAGAGGGTAGGAACTACCTGGAGGGGCGCTCAGGGATGGCCACTGTGCATGATGGGCAGCCTAAGAGTTGCCCGAAGTGGCCAGAGGACCACTCTGCAGCCAGGTCAGTTCCCACCCTCAGCCCTGTGCACCGTCCCTAGAGTCTTGTGCCACCGTCCGTAGGCAGAGCTGACCCCTGAAAAGGCGTCCGGAATAAGGCACAGCTCCTGGCCTGACCTCAGACTATTTCCCACCCGGGCCCCTTCCTGTCCCCAGGTGGGGAAGTGTCACCCTTCACTGCCTGGCCTGTGTGTGCCTCCTGGAGTACTGGGCACACAGTGTGGCCTTGGCTTCCAGCCTGGGCTCCCGGCTCGCTCATTTTCTTTTGGAGAGAGAGCACAGACGTACACGCTCATGTCCAAGCTTGCTCAGCAGCAAATTGAAAGCTGATGATTCAAACGTGAGGCATGGGAGGAAACTAGAGATGCCGAGGGACAGATGGACTCGTTGCGTCTGGACAGGGCTATTGCAAGGTGGCTGCTGAGTCCCCAGGAGGACTCACACACACCCCCTCCTTATAAAACGAAACCCAGACCAAGTGTTGGGAAAGAATTTGAAGCAGAACAGCCAACTCCCAGAGAGACCTGGAAGGGAGGGGAGGGCTCTTCTCCCCCCAGCGTTCTCTGCCTCCAGGAGAAGCAGGATTCAAAGATCCCTGTGTTCAGACTTTGTGCAATCAATAGCCTTGATTTCTGAAAATCTACAGCCCAGAATATTCTTATGTCATTTGGGGTGGCAGCTGGGGGTGGAAGGTTGTAGGCAAGATGAGGATCAGACAAATAAAGCCACCTGCGCTTGAGGGGTCCTCCTGACTCCTCCGCACCATATGCCCCGGTGAGGGGGGCGTTGGTTCCTTTCCCCAGGGTGCCTTCCCCCGCCAGGGGTGAGCGGAGCAGGAGCAGGAGCAGCTCAAGCTGCAACCAGGCGAGATGTCTTGGGCAGCAGCCGTAGAGGGCTTCGAGAACCTACTAGCCGGGTTGCAGAGCCAGGGGAGCTGGGCTCAGACCCCTTAGCCATTCCCTCCTCTTCTGGGTCTTCCAGGCCAAGAGCTCTGGCTGACCCCTGAGCCCCCTCAGACCTAAGGGTTGTGGAGAAGCAGGAATAATAATAGACCCAGGCTTGGAGGAGAAAGAACAGAGCTGACGAACAGGACAAAAAAAGATTTTCAAAACCTGGGAGAGAAGGTGTTTTCTTCTTCCTCGCCTCCTTTTTAAATCGCTGCAAATTAGCAGAGAACTCTGATTCCCTTCCACCCACAGAAAACCCCAGAAACAAGCCTCCTTTAGTTCTCTCTCAAGCGATCCGAGATTCGAGATTCGGGGACATTTACCCGGCCCTCCCTTGAGGGACCAGCTTGAAGCAACGTAGGGGTTAACTTTTCTCAAAACACAATTAACTTTTTCCTATTCTGCGTGGGTTGGGGGGAGGGATATATTTATTTAATCGCTGGGGAATGGGGTGGTCTCAGCCCAAGCGCTGCCTCCTCCCTCCGAGGCTCAGACGCCTTTTTCGCAGATCCTACGTAGGTGGAACAGGACGCGTTGTGTTGCTGGGGGAGAGAGAGAGAGAGACAAGGGGAGAAGGAGGGGAAAAAAAAGGTTGATAGGTTTGTGCGCGGGTCCCTCGTGCGGGCCGCGCTCCTCCTGGGTGCTATTTGACAATTCCTGCCTCTGCCATTGGTCAGTGTTGGATCAGATGGTTGTATTTCCTTCTGGCCCTCACTGGCACCTCGCCATCCCCCCTCAGCTAAAACCCAATCTCGGATATACTACTAATAGGCGCGGCGCTCGGACTATAAAACACAACAAATCATAAACCCGGCGGAGCAGCAGCGGCCGCGCGCGCCTCCCCTCCCAATGAGTTCCTATTTCGTGAACTCCACCTTCCCCGTCACTCTGGCCAGCGGGCAGGAGTCCTTCCTGGGCCAGCTGCCGCTCTACTCGTCCGGCTATGCGGACCCGCTGAGGCACTACTCCGCGCCCTACGGGCCCGGGCCCGGCCAAGACAAGGGCTTCGCCCCTTCCTCCTACTACCCGCCGGCCGGCGGTGGCTACGGCCGGGCTGCGCCCTGCGATTACGGCCCGGCGCCGGCCTTCTACCGCGAGAAGGAGTCGGCCTGCGCGCTCTCGGGCGCCGACGAGCCGCCCCCGTTCCACCCGGAGCCGCGGAAGCCGGACTGCGCGCAGGACAAGAGCGTGTTCGGCGACGCGGAGGAGCAGAAGTGCTCCACGCCGGTGTACCCGTGGATGCAGCGGATGAATTCGTGCAACAGTGAGTGCCGCTCTGCGCCGTCCCTGCGCCTCCGCGGCCCCCCACCCCGGGACAGGGCAGTAGGAGCGCCCCCTCCTCCCCCGCGCGGGGTGCTGGGTGGACGTCTCAGTTAGAAGGTCGAGGAAGACGGGGCGCCCTCGCAGGGTCTCCCGCGCCATCCTCTGGGCCGCAGGAGTTGCAAAGTTTGCAAAGTCCCAGCTGTGCCGGGAGCTAGGGGGAGCGAGTGGGCTCCCCAGGAGCGCCAGGCTCCAGCCAGGATTCCTGCCAGAAAGGGGCAGGGGCGCAGTGGCTGGTCCTGCTTTCCCTTGCGCCCCCGTCCCCTTCCCCCTAGCCCCGGCAGGTCCCCCACCCAAGGCCGCTCCATTAAAAGCGGAGTGCGTCATGAAGGGGTGGAGGCGGCGTGACGCCGGCGAGGGAGAGGAGTCCGGCCCAGGCCCGCGTTCCCCCGGGGTGGGGGCTGGGAGACAGGCACCAGGAAAGGGGTGGGAGGCAAGAGGAAGGAGGGAGACTAGGAGGGCAAAGGAGCGGGAGAGAGGGGGAAACAGGCGCCTGGGTCTCAGGTCGGATTATTTGTCGGCTTTAAATCCCAATTGATGTCCATTAGCGGGACACGAAAGTGAGGAGCTGTTAATGCGGACTAGAGATCGATCCGCGTCATTACGGATTAAGGGCCCGAATCTATCATTGAGTGGGTGGGGGTGGGGGGAGAGCTAGATGGATGGCGAGGAAGCGAAAGAAAAGACGAGGCTAGGAAGAGACACACCTGGCCAGCCCCTCCCCCTGGGCGCAGGTGGGAGTTATGAGCGCTCCTCCCCACCCCCACCGAAAGTCTACACCCCGAACACAGGCCCAGGAATCCGGGAGGGAATCCGGAGGGGGCGCTGGAGGGGCGGGAAGGGGGCAGAGTGGGGCGCCTGAGGGCACCCCGGGCAGGCTGGAGTGCACTTCGGGGGCCCAGTGGGGGAGGGGGCTCTGGGCCGGGTGACCCCAGGCCTCAGCGCCTCCGCTCTGCTCTGCGTAACAGGTTCCTCCTTCGGGCCCAGCGGCCGGCGAGGCCGCCAGACCTACACGCGCTACCAGACGCTGGAGCTGGAGAAGGAATTTCACTACAACCGCTACCTGACCCGGCGGAGGCGCATCGAGATCGCGCACGCCCTGTGCCTGACCGAGCGCCAGATCAAGATCTGGTTCCAGAACCGGCGCATGAAGTGGAAAAAGGAAAGCAAACTGCTCAGCGCCTCGCAGCTCAGTGCCGAGGAGGAGGAAGAAAAACCGGCCGAGTGAAGGTGCTGGAAAGGGAGGGGGGACGCGGAGGGAGAGGCCTGCGCGGACCCCAGGGCGACGGAGAGGCCGGGAAGGCTCTGCGGGCGGGCGGGGGAGCCTAGGGACCCGCTCTCGGTGGCGACAGGCGACAGGCGGGGCCCCGCGCCCTCCCGGACCCCCGCCCGCAGAGCTCCCGCCGCCGCAGGGGGCTCAGGTCGCGCCGCCCGAGCCCACCCCGCACCCCAGCGCCGCCTCCCTCCCCGAGCAACCCGCCTGGGCCTGGTCAGGCTCCTGGGTGAGAACTGAGGATCGGACTCACTTGATGTTTGCTGGAAGCAGAGCGAAAACGCTCTTGTACGTGTCGCGTCTCATTTCGTCCATGTCCCCCGTGCACGGTTCAATGGTAGATTCGCTGCCCCTCAGCAGGGGCCCCGAAGACTCCCTGACCCCAGACTTGTCGTCTCACCCACCCCCGCCCCAAAGCCACTGGAAGGAAGGAGCACATACTACCTAGAAGTAAGAAGAGGCGCCTCAGAAGAAAACAAAGTTCTATTTTATTAATTTTCTATGTGTTGTGTTTGTAGTCTTGTCTTAGCTCTGGACGTGAAATACTTCGGTAATAATATTAATATTATTAATAATGATGATGATGATAATAATAATAAAGACCTGAAAACTCGCTGCTCGGTCATCTCCGATCCTCCTGTACCATCCCTTCCCTCCCCGTCCACCCCCAAACCTCTCTCGCTCAAGGGGCTCTGGTCGCCTCAGGGCCTCCGTCACCCGCTGGCCACCACTCGGAAGTTACAGTTGAGATAAAGGCTGGGGCGATCGGTGGCACCTAGGCCCACCCCCCTGTATTGTGTCTTTCAGATGTTAAGGCTCCAAACCGCCTCTCCCAGTGCAGACTTAGGGACCCAAGCGGTAGCCTTTCCCTCTTACGCTGTAGCCTGTCTTCATTTCTGCCACCGCCGCCTCAGTGGAGGTGCCACTAGGCCCCCTAGCCCACAGCAACTGCGGAGACTGAGCTGGCACTTGGGCGCCTTAGCAGCGCTTTCCTGTCTGCAGCTGGCCAAGGCCCCTGGCCTTTGGACCGTCCACAGACATGGCCCAGCCTCCACCAACCGTGGCCCTGGGCTCCACAGACAAAAATGGGGCCACTTTCAGTCATGTGGCTGAAGATTCTAGCTACCCCTTTCCTCTTTAAATTGGAGCTCAGTGACAAGCAGGAGAATGTGCAGCCGTGGGCAGGCAGGAGGCAGAGGGCCCTGACTTGGCCCCCGCTCTTTTAAACCCTGAGGGCAGGAGCGAGTGAAGGGGTGAAGGGGCATTTGGTCTTCGCCTCTTCACCCAAAATGGCCCATTCTCTCGGGGCCCTGCCCTCCCCGAGGCAGCAAGCTGTAGACACTGTTTTTCTTCCTCCTCCTGCTTTCCCTTTTTTATTTTTAAAGAAAATAGCTGCCTGGCAGAAGGGGCCCAGCTGCAGCGGTCTCTGGCTGCCCAGCGCGCTCAGCAAGGTGCCGTGGGTGCTTGGAGCCCCTTTCCCAGGGAAGGTGGCAGGCTGGCGGGCAAATTCTCCAACTGCACTGCCGCTGGCGAAAGATCCTGGCCTAGGGCCTCTGAATGCAGTAGCCTGCAAAGGGGTCTCGTTTAAGCCCCAAACTCTCAGACACATGTTATTACCCAAGCCCAAAGCCACGGCTTTCTGAGGCGGTGGCTGCTGGTATCTTTCGGCAGCTAGGCCGCTTAGGCCCGGCCAGGTTCATCATCTAGCGACCCTGTCCTGCTTTGCCATTTCCAGGCCTGGGCTAGAGACCAGGAGGAGGTCAGGAAGAGGATTCTAAACTTCCAGGGGGCCCATTAGGGTTGAAAGCTTTTGCTGCAGGGTCTTGCGGCTCAGCCTGGGAGCTGTGGACCAGCTACCGCAGCCCCGCACCAGGAAGCAAGCCGCGGCCGCTGCAAGGTTGAGCTGGGGCAGAGAGGGGGTCGTAATAATTTTTTTCTGCACACAATTCCCAAGCCTTTCCCTTATTCCTGCCCTCAACTCTGGAGACTCACAAAACCTTAAAAAGGGACAAGCAACGCAATCTTTGATCATCTTACCCAGAGTTAAAATCATAACGGTGGTAATGGCAGAGAAGGCGTAAATAGACTAACCGTGCCCTGAGAAAGTGGGTAAAAGGCTCGGATCTGTCCTCTGAAAAAAGGCTCAACCCTGCGGGTGGTTCACGGCCAGGTTTCTCCCTCGGCTGGCTGGCGGATGCGGGGAGCCGAGAGCGAGGCACCACCGCCGCCATGGCGGGCTGCGGCCCGCGCTCCCGCCGATCGCCGGGAGGTGGCGCGCTCTGCTCAGAGGCCAACGCCAACCTTCTCCCGATTTCTCCCCCTTCTCCTTTTCCCCCCTCTCTCCAAGGCTCGCATTGAATCGGCCCTAACGATTCTCGGATCGTCATTATTTGTAACCATAGAGCATGAATTACCTCTTGAGGTCATCAGCGAGAATTTACGACTGGTCAACAAAAGCACGTGATTCCCTAACGCCCCCCATCCCCCTTCCAACCTGCCCCCCCCATATTTGGCCGCATACATAGCAAAACGAAGTACAGTGCATCGCTATAATTCATTAATACATCATAAATCGTGAAGCACAGGGTTATAACGACCACGATCCACAAATCAAGCCCTCCAAAATCACCCAAATGAGCTCGTACTTTGTAAACTCCTTCTCGGGGCGTTATCCAAATGGCCCGGACTATCAGTTGCTAAATTATGGCAGTGGCAGCTCTCTGAGCGGCTCTTACAGGGATCCCGCGGCCATGCACACCGGCTCCTACGGCTACAATTACAATGGGATGGACCTCAGCGTCAACCGCTCCTCCTCGGCCTCCTCCGGCCACTTTGGGGCGGTGGGCGAGAGCTCGCGCGCCTTCCCCGCGCCCGCCCAGGAGCCCCGCTTCAGGCAGGCGGCGTCGAGCTGCTCCCTGTCCTCGCCCGAGTCCCTGCCCTGCACCAACGGCGACAGCCACGGCACCAAGCCCTCCGCCTCGTCCCCCTCCGACCAGGCGACCCCGGCCAGCTCCGGCGCCAATTTCACCGAGATAGACGAGGCCAGCGCGTCCTCGGAGCCCGAGGAAGCCTCCAGCCAGCTCGGCAGCCCCAGCTTGGCGCGGGCGCAGCCGGAGCCCATGGCCACCTCCACGGCCGCGCCCGAGGGCCAGGCTCCGCAGATATTCCCGTGGATGCGGAAGCTTCACATCAGCCATGGTAATTCTCAGCCTCTTTTTTGTCTCCTCGGCTTCCCTTCTGTGTGTCTGGGGGTGGGGGGTGGCCAGGAGAGCTTGGCTTTGCCCAAATACAAATGTATTTTTTTCCAAGGGGGAGAAGTCCCTAAGAGGGTCCCCCGGGCTCCGTGGACAGAGCTCAGCAGGGTCTTCGGCGAGAGGGTGGATTTTTAATAATTTGTTCTTAGGCTCGGCTTAGGGTTTAGACGCCCAGCCAGGAGCCAGCTTTAGAATGAAGGATGGGATGTCTGTCATGTAGGGCAGGGTACCCCGAAATCTCGAGACTGCTGCTAGTCAAGGAGGGCAGACAGTCAAAGGAGCTTCCCAGGACGAAAGTGGGGCCGCTCTGCTCCCTCCCAGGGCAAGCGGCTGCCTGCGCCCCGGAAGGGTGAGGCACTGGGAGGGCGCGAGAGACAAAGCCAAAGCCGGGTGCCTTCGCTGCCAGCAAAAGTGGGAGCTGTGGGATGAGGGGGTGCAGAAGTGGAGCTTGGGCGCGGGCATCTGGAGTAGGGAAGACGGGAGCTGCGGGGAGCTGGGTGCTGGGGATGCCTGGGTCCTGCTCCCCGCCCCCTCCCTCCCACCCGGGGCCCCCTCCGGTAGCCGGAATAGGAAGAACTAACGTGGCCTCGCCGCTCTATTCTGTCTGCACCAGATATGACCGGGCCGGATGGGAAGAGGGCCCGGACCGCGTACACGCGCTACCAGACGCTGGAGCTGGAGAAGGAATTCCACTTCAACCGCTACCTGACCCGGCGGAGGCGCATCGAGATCGCGCACGCCCTGTGCCTGTCGGAGCGCCAGATCAAGATCTGGTTCCAGAACCGGCGCATGAAGTGGAAGAAAGACAACAAACTGAAAAGTATGAGCCTGGCCACCGCGGGCAGCGCCTTCCAGCCCTGAGCCCTGAGCCCGCCCGCCCACAGGAGCCCTGGGCGGCCCAAGAGCCCGCGCCACCCCATCCCCGGCCCCTCCGACCCTCTGCGCTGCCGCCGCCCGCTGGGGACCGGTTCCCACGAGCCTGCCTCGCCCGGCCTTGTGTTCTGAGTTTTCCTTTGGTCTTAGGTCTTCCTGTGGCTCCCTCTCTCTTGGACTGGTTGTTACTATTGTTAATAATAATAATGATAATAATAATAATACTTATTATTTTCCCTCCAGACCCCCACGCCCCTCTGCTCGCCCCAAATCCGCCAGTGTTTCTGAATGTTCGTGTCTGTGGTTGCACTCTTTTCCCCCAGGAAGAAGAAGAGAAGAAGAAAAAAAAAAGAAATTCGCATGTTTAATGTGAACTTTCCCCTCCCCATCTGTGTCCTAACTTATTTATACAAGGGTGATGGCTGCATTTTGAGTTTCAGCTGGAGACTTCTCTAAGGGCAGCAGTTGAGTGGGGTAGCTTCGCAGCGCCGGCCCAGCCGAGCTGGCCTCTGAGATGGAGTCCATGACTGTGTCTTTTCCCACCAGCTCCTGCTCGCCTCCTCATCGCCAGGCCCAAGTCTCCCAGGGCCTTGGTCCTGGGGTGGGAAGGGGCCAAGGAGGACCCACAGGGGTGATGTGGACGAGAGGGGAGGAAAATAGTGAGATTTCAGTCCCTGCTGCCTGATAGGCCCCACAAGGCCTGGTCTGGGGTAGACAGAAACAGAAGAAATAATCCTCTGTGTAAAATGTCTCCCGTGTATTTCTCTGTGGACCCACGGGTCTGGCTGGAAGGCCCAACGCTTGTAAATATGGGGGTAGCCTAGGTCAGACCCAGCTCTTTCTGCCTAAGTCATTTCGAGACCATTTATAGTGAGCAGCGAGTGGATGCCGTGCCGTGTGTTAAATCTGTCTTTGCCAGGCCTGTCTCAGTGATTCGCTTTTGGTATTTGTTTGTAGCTTTCCTTAAAGTCAAATAAATGTTTCCCCGACTCCCTGGCCCTTCCACTTGTCTTTTCTGCGGGGTCTGCCTCTCCCATCGCGGGGCACACCCTGGCTCATTCTGCAGAAATCTAGGGTGTAGGCCGGACAGTAGGATGGGCAACGGTACCCCTCTCAGTCACACAGAGTCCTGGCTTGGTTGGTCAGTGGTGCTTGGGCCAGGACACAGGGCCTCAGGCCTGGCGGGGCCCAGAGGTTCAAGAACCTCACTTGGGACCAGGCTGGGCCCTAGCTTGGCCTCCACCACCTGGTCACCGAGAAGCCCTCTGGAAAACTCTCCAGGAAAAGGAATTTGGGCCTAAGTCCTGCGCAGGAGGCTCCTGGCCTTCTGGAAGTGGTAGAGGCCTGCCTGGCTACCCAGTTCCCTGCTCCAAACCCCAGTTCAACCCTGTCACCCACTAAGCCCCCTGCCCAAAAAAAAGGGAGGAAAAAAATCAGATCCATTTCAAAGGTTTCCTCTCAACCTCGGCCTTCTCTATAGTTTCCTAGGGCTCCTTCTCCCCAGGGGGCTAACTGGCCTTCCCTCCTGCTTAGGAGCTGGGTTCCCTCCTGAAAGAGCTCTCGGTCCCCCTCCAGCCGACCCCTGAGCACAAGAGTCAAGCTGGACACTTACCCGAGTCAATCCCTTCCAGCTGGGCCCAACTTCTCACGGGCCTGGGGGAGGGGGCTGGAGAGGAGGCAGCCGAGGGTCCTGGAGGCTCTACTGGGCCCTACTTCCCCTTCACCCCCTGACTCTGTCCCCCTTTGCCGATAGCAAACTATCCCAAAAGTCGCTATGACATTTAGATGTCAAATGGATAGGGGTTTTATCTCGAAGTTAGATCGTAAAAATCGCCGAGAAGTCAGACAGATACCCCTCACTGGCTCCAGAAAGTCACGTGAGGTCCATAAAGTTAGTTTTATGGTTTTGGGGAGTTGACACCGTGCGGTATATTTCACATTCTCCAGAATGTTAAGTGACACTTTAACTGCTCGCTGTGGTGGGGAAGGGGGCAGAGCTAGGTGAGCTCTCTCCCAGCCTGGAGCAGCCGACCAGCCCAGGAGGCGGTGGCCGCCCAGCAGCCTCGCAGTAAGTCGCTCCCAGCTTTCGCTTTCTCCCCTTTCTTCGCTGGCACTTTTGGGGCTTGGGGCTGGGGGAAGGCATCTTGCTTCCAGTAGGGCTGTGGAAGGCGTACGGGATGGTGAGCTTGTTTCTGTCCCCAGCTCTGAGAAACTGGGTGTTTGGAGTGGGGGCCGTTGGTTCCAAAAAGCTTCAGCGGTCCAGGGCACCTGGATTTTATTCGCAGGACTGTCGGATTTTGAGGAGCAAAAGGGTTGTGTGGGATTCATATTCCTTCGTTGGGTGCGCTGGGAAATTTGGGGGCACAAGGTGGGGTGTGTATTGCTGGAGGAAGGGGAGCCATTTCACAGCTGGCTGCCCTAAGACTGGTATCTCCCCAACCCCAGAAAAGAAACTTATGCCATTCATCTGTCAGGAGTACGTGGGGGTGCATAGCCGGGCACTTCTATCTGTGCAGATGTGAGCTGAGGCCAAGCACCAGGGAAGGCTGCTGTGGGCCTCTTCACCCTGGGGTGCTGTCTGCCTTTCTGGTCTTAGAGCCCCACAAAAAGGGCTCTGTGGCCTTGTCAGGGATATCCAGGAAGCGGAGTGCAGGGCTTCCGTGCCCAGCTTCAGCCTGTGGGTCTCAAGCGATCCTTTCCTTCAGCTGGGATTGGAGAAGGATCCTGGGTCAGGGTGGGTAGCGGCCATGGGCAGGACAGAGGGTGCAATCTCCTCCAACCCCAAACCTAGCAGCTGGCCAGAAGGTGGGCAGCGGAGGGGCTTCCGATCTGGCCTGGAGGAGATGTTTAAATAGACCCTGGAAAGCTCGCCACAGAGAAATCCTGCCAGGAACAACCCCAACAGTGGCAGCAAAGGCACAGGCGTTAGGAAAGCTGGAAAGGTGCTCTTCCCCCTCTCTCCGCCGGACCCTCAAAGGCCCCTTTGTTTTGTGGCATCATGAACCAGAGGGGTTTCAAGATCCCACCCTCAGGGGCCTGGTATTTTCTAAGGAAAAGTTCCCCTTCTTCCAAAAGCCACAGGCCTTCCCCCTCCCCCCAAATTTAGGGTGCCTGAGGTGAGCTCCAGGGATCCAGCCTCTCCTGCGTTCCTTCCTTGCTGGCCACCGTCTCTCCAGCCACCTTTCCAGCTCCTGCTCGTGGTCTCTGGGATTGGACATTTGGCTCCTGGAGGGGCTTCTGATCTGGGGACAAGAAAGCGGGTCGCAGGGTTCCCTCCTTTCCCGTTCAGGGGCGATTCACCTCTCCCCTCCCTTGTCTACCGAAGCCGCTCTCGCTCTGCTTTTTGAGCTCGCTATTCTCTGCGCATCTTACAGGAGACCCCAAGAGGTTCTGAGCGGAGTTAGAGCACAGAAGGGTTGGGGGTCCTCGGCCTGGGGTGAAGACACATTTTCTAAGAATGACGGGCATGGGCACCCATTGGAATGGACACAAAGGACACGCTGGTCAGCTCCCAAAGGGTCCCCAGCACCACTTAAAACATGAATACATTTTGGAGGCTTTGCTTCCACTCTCTACAAGACAAAGGGATTGAGAGGGGTCCCCACGAAGTGCACAGTAGGGACAGTCCAACTTGGGGAACCCTGATCCTGCTGAGCCTGTGGCCTCTTCTTAGCTCCTGTCTGTCTGTCTGTCTGTCTCTCTCTGCCTTCTTAGGCCCCCCTGAAGATTTTCCCCTCTGGCATGTCTCTTCTGCAGACTCTGATAAGGAGCCCTGCGGGCTGGCAGCCTGGGCATCTGCTGGGCATATCTGGGCAGATTTTCCAGAGGGGCCAAGTTCAGCCCCAGGAAGGGGCACCCACTTCCACTGCAGAGGCCAAGCCTTTGGAGGGTCTCTTGAAACTCTGAGGGGGTTACGGAGAAGTCCTCGCTAGGCTTTCCTCTTTCCCTCTTGGCGTTCTGGGCAACTGCCCTTGCTGATCCCCAACCAGAGCAAGCTGGGGGAGAGGATGCTTGTGCTGTGAGGTTTGTCTCTGTCCTCCTGTCTGTCCCCAAGACCTCTCTGGAAATGCTGCTCTATACTCTCCAAAGCTCTTCCCTCCCTTCTCCCCTGCTACTTCCTCCCCCTCTGCGGACCAGGCCTGGACTTTTGAACTAGGACCAACATCCTCTGGCCAAATCCTCAGCCCCAACCCGAGGGGAGGCCCCAAGGCAGCAGCCGGAGACAGAGGCTGCAGTTTCTCTTTGGCTGTGAGGCCAGCCTGGCCTCCACTCAGCGCACAATTTGATTTTGACTTTTTGTTTTGTTTTATTTGGTTGTTTGATTTGTTTTGTTTCTCTGTGGCCATGGGGTGGGAGGAAGTATAAAGAAGTGTAAACAGGAAAGCCAGCCGGGCCTGGAGTTCCAAGCGCCCATATTTCATGGGCTTCCTCTGCATAACTGTGGAAGGGACAGTTAACCCTTCCCTGGCTGTACGAAGTCATTTACTGAGGACTGGGGGGGCAGGACATGGGAGACCCGAGACAGAACTCCTTTCCCTGCCTGGTGCCTTTATTCCTGGGATCTGGATGCTGGAGCGGAAGCATTGCCTCAGAGCAGGGGAGAAGATAGACTGCTTAGCACAATCCCCCAAACTCAGCTTGGGATCAACCTGGCCAGCCTTGGAGGACAGGGCGAGCGAGAACCGGCTCCCCTCCTTCAGAAGAGGGGCCGTTGGTCACCCGCACAATTTTTGGAGTTTCTCAGAGTAATTGGATTTTGAGGCTGGGATCTGCCCGCAGCAGGGATGGATCGATTGCTGCAGTGCTGTTACACATTCGTATTAATTAACCCAGACACCGCCTGGAAACCGAGCCGTTTGGGGGAGGGGGAGGGGAGACGTGGGGGCCCTTTAAGGAGAATGGACGTTTCTCCCTAAGTGCCTCTGAGGCCCAGATTGCAGAGGGGCTTTCTCCCCAGGAATCCTGCAGCCCTCTCCAAGCTCCAAGTCCTGGCGAGGGTAGGCAGCACGACTTGGGCTCCACAGTCTCCATGCAGGGAGCATGCCCTAATCACACCCTCCCAGGCCGGTTCCTGCGGGCCCTAACCCATCCTCCTCCTCCCAGGCCGTTCCCCCAGCTTGTGGGTGCTGTCTCTGGTGGAGGTTTCCAGTGCGGTTTTTCTAGAGGCGTCACACCTCCTTCCCACCTTCTGCTCGACTGGCCGAAGGTAGAAGCTTTTGGTGGCTTTGGGGTTTGTTTTGTTTTGTCTTGCTTTAGCGTCCCGTTTGTTGTTGGTGATAGAGATGGTGTTTATGGCCTTCCCCCCTTCCTCCAACCCCTCCCTCCAAAAAGTGATTAAAATCTGTTAAAAGGATTTAATTAAGAGAGTTAAATGAAAAGGAAGGAGGCGCAAATGAGTTGGGGGAAAAAAACCCACACCAAAGCTATTCTCAACGATTAAATCGCCATTTTAACAATATAATGGAGTTTGCATCCTGAAAGGGGAAATCAAGCTCATATCTCATCAATAATTCATAGAGTCCGGGATCATGCAGAGGTCAGCAGACACGGGGGCCGCAGCGCCGGCCTACTCGGCTCCAGGCCGCTGCCGCATACATTACGCGCCGCTGGCCGGCCACCGCGCAGGCACCGGCGCAGCAGGCCCGGCGGGGGCGTGCCGGCAGGTTTAGGCGGATCTCTTCTCCTCTCCGGTAGCAAGTTCGCTGAAACCCGGAATGCAAGCTCAGAAAGGAAGCGAAGGGATCTAGGAGCGAAAGAAGATGGATTTTGAGCAATTTAGGAACCTGTCGGAGCCCGAGCAGCAAGCACCCCCTGCTCAAGTTTTCATCTCGTTCTCCTTTTCCCTTTTCTCTAGTTTAGGCATCTCCCTTCCGGCCTCTTCTCTCCCTAAATTTCCTCCTACAGAAGGAGATGCACGCTGTGCAGCGTCGTGCAATTGCTTCTCCCCGGAAAAGGCTCTCAGGCCGCCTCGCCGCGCTCTGGCCTCGCTCCCCGAGTGGGCTGGCGCTGAGCCCACGGGGCTGCAGCCTCCGGCGGAGCGGGGAGCCTGGGTTCGCTCACAGCGGGCCCTGAGCTGGGAGTCGGTGGGGTGGAGCTGGATCCCTGCAGGGAGGAAAGGTACTGCAGGCTCCAGGCCGGTGGCCACGAGATGACCCCGGGCAGGTGGAGAGGTGGGCAGTCAGCGTGGCGCAGGGCACGAAGCGGGCAGCGGAGGGAGCGGCAGGGTGAGGGGGCATGGCTGTCCTTGGGAGAGGTGGGGGTAACACCAGGGCTGCTTCTCGGCTCTCATTCGTTCTCCTGCTCCAACTCTCTTTATTCTTTTCTGACTACCAAGGGTCTCCCAGGGAAACAGAAAGGAAACCTTGCCCTCCCTGCGACAGATGGGGTCCTGGCAGGTGAGCTGGGGACGGCAGGGAAACCGAAAGTGCGCCGGGCGGTCCTCAGGGACGCCGCGCCTGCCGCGAGGCAGAGGCTGTAACGTCCCCGAGCTGCCAGTAGAGTCCGCCTTAGACCAAGTTCACAGCCATGCCGGGGCCTCCCAGGCGCCAGCCAGCGCCGCGCAAGGTGGCCCCGGGCCGCTCGACCTCGCATTGTTGGGACGCAGCTGTCCCTCAAGCGCCACGGACACAGTGATCGCCACCCCCCTCCAGGAAACGGTGCTCCATGCCTTCCCGTCCTCCCCGCAAATGCCCTTCTCTGGGTCCGCCCATTCTGTGGGGCGCCTCGTCCAGCAACCGTGGGCCCTTTGGGGAGCCGAGGATGAAGAAGGGTGGGTGGTCAAAAGCCCTTCCAGGCCTCCCG